GGCTTCCACAGGTCGAACTTGTCCTTGGCCAACACATTTACCAAGATAGGTAACCGTTGCTTTGGCAAATTCACATTTAGCCAAATTCAGAGTTAGAGATGCCCTACTTAACCGTTCAAAAACAACATTTAACTTTTCAAGATGTTCCTCCCAAGTATTAGAAGAATATACTACCACATCATCCAAATATATCTCAACATCGGTCACCTCTGACAAAACTCTGTTCATTAGCCGCTGGAACGTAGCTGGTGCATTTCGCATGCCGAAAGCCATGACAGAGTACTGTAGGAATGAATCAGGTGTGACAAATGCAGATATTTCAGAGGCACGAGAAGTTAACGGGACTTGCCAGTACCCTTTTAGCAGATCTAGCTTTGTAACATAATGAGCAGCACCAACTTTGTCAACACAATCTTCCATTCTTGGAAGGGGAAAAGAGTCTGGTTTGGTCACAGCGTTAACTTTACGATAGTCAGTGCAGAATCTGAATGTGGAGTCAGACTTTGGCACTAGAATACATGGTGAACTCCATGGACTTTGACTGCGAGTTGCAAACCCATGCTCTAACAAATATGTTACCTCAGCTTTCATGACGACTCGTTTCTTTGGATTTATTCTATATGGATGTTTAATGGGCTGGTTATCTCCCACATCAATGTCGTGACACAGCAAGGTAGTCTGGGAAGGAACATCAGAGAACAGGCTGGAATAGTTAACAATTAAGTCACTAACTGCTTTACTCTGTTCTTCTTCTAAGTGGAAGAGGTAGGATGGCAAATCACTCAAAATAGCCGAATTCTGCAAACGGGCACACAAAGTTTGAGCGTCTTTAGCTATCAATCCATCCTCTTCTAAACATTCAGCAGGTTGCAACACTGCTGTAGAGACCGGTTTAACAGGAACAGCTGAGTTTGCATTTCTTGTGATGGATGCCTTCAACATGTTTACATGACACACTCTGCTCTTACGTCGCTGCTCAGGAGTGCCAACAACATAATTAGTATCACTAAGTTTTTTCTCAATTATGTAGGGGCCAGAGAACTTAGCTTGCAAGGCTGTTCCAGGCACAGGGAGTAGGGCCAGAACAGATTCACCGGTCTGAAACTCACGCCTCACACTTTTGTGGTCAAAACGCGTTTTCATCTTCGCTTGAGACTCCAACAAATGAGTCTGAGCTAACTGACAAGCTTGGTGAAGACGTTCCTTGAAAGAAGTCACGTACTCAAGTATCGATACAGGTGCAGAATCCTGTGAAAGTAGCTGTTCACTCAGTAACCTTAGCGGGCCTCTTACGGTATGGCCAAACACCAATTCTGCAGGGCTGAATCCGAGTGACTCCTGAACACTTTCTCTAATTGCAAACATCATTAAAGGTAGACCTTCCACCCAATCTCTACCAGTCTCTGTGCAAAATCTTCGAAGCATAGTTTTAAGAGTCTGGTGAAATCTCTCCAATGCACCCTGAGACTCTGGATGGTATGCACTCGCCAATTGGTTTAACTCCCCGTTCACTCAGCATCTGTGTAAACACTTTTGATGTGAAATTAGAACCCTGGTCAGATTGAATAACCTTAGGCAAACCAAAGAGGGAACAGAAGCGAATTCTCTTTAACCACTAATTTAGCTTTTATCGTGCGGAGAGGAATCGCTTCTGGATAGCGAGTCGCAGTACACATGATGGTTAAGATATATTGATGACCAGATTTAGATTTAGGTAAAGGACCTACACAATCTACAAGCAGCCGTTCAAACGGTTCGTGAAGGACAGGAATCGGTTTTAGAGGAGCTACCGGAATGGTCTGGTTTGGCTTTCCCACTAACTGGCATGTATGACATGAGCGGATAAATGTAGAAACGGCAGATTTCAAACCAGGCCAAAAGTAGTATCTGGTGATTCGATGGAATGTTTTTGTTACTCCTAAATGTCCTGCTAGAACATTCTCATGAGCTAACTCTAGTACATGGTGTCGATAATCAGTGGGTAACACAATCTGGCGAACCTCTTGCCACTTTGCATCACAATGCAGGGGTTTCCACTTACGCATCAAAATTTCATCTTCCCAAAAATATGCTATTCTAGCTTTAGATACTTGGGTGAAATCTACTACAGCATCTCTACAAGCAGCCAGGGAAGGATCAGTGATCTGAGCAGCAGCTAACTCCACCTTACCTACTTTCAATGTAAGTTTCGGTAACACAGGATATTCAATGTTTTCTAACTCAACCTTAGATTTAACTTTTGTCACCCTCTCCATATCCTCAGGTTGAGAAAACAGCACAGTATCTGAGAGATCTGCAATATCTCCAAATTTCAGTGATTGAGCTCGTGTTACAGCACAGGCAGGGAAAACAGATGCATACTGAGTCGTAAGCTCAGATACTTCAGTAGTAACGGGTTCATGAACAACAATAGGACGAGGAAAGACTTTGCCACCTGCAAGATCATTTCCCAGAATGAAACCAACCCCATCTACCGGTAATTGTGAACATACCCCCAGCGTCACTAAGCCAGTAACAAGTTCCGACTTCAAATACACTCGATGAAGAGGAACATTGACACAAACCATCCCAAAACCACAAACTAGCACATCAGTACCTGTATACGACTCAGCAGAAAAAGGGAGCATCTCTTCTAAAATAAAAGACTGTGCAGCCCCAGTGTCCCTTAGAATCCTTAACTGCTTTTTCTCTGACTCAGATGAAAGAGAGACTGTACCAGTACAAATAAACGGCTGATAAGCGGTAGCATTCACATCGTATGCTTTTGGAACCGATTGCATGAGCGCTACACTTTTGGACTTGGAAGCATTTTTTTGCTTCCACGCCTTACATTCTGAAATTAAGTGATTGGGGTCAAGGCAAAAAAAACATGCTCGCCCGTCACTTACACGTTTAGGACTCGATTTTCGTCGCGAACTATGGTCTTGTCCGGTGTTAGTATTACGACTCGGTGGTCGAAAAGCTTCAAAACTTCCCCCCATAGAAGGCTGACTTTTGTACAATCGGGTTGCGGAGAACACATTTCGATGTGTTAACACAAATTCATCAGCTGCAATAGCAGCGTCAGCCAGAGCCTGCACTTTTTGTTCGTTAAGATAAACAACAACGTTTTCTGGCGCACACGTTTTGAAATCTTCCAGCAGGATAAACTCCTGAAGCTGCTCAAAGGTTGTGATCCCACTAGAAAGACACCACTTATCAAATAGTGTTTTCTTCTCTCTAGCAAATTCAACATATGTCTGTCTGGCTGATTTCACATGCGATCGAAATTTCTGACGATACGCCTCAGGCACTAATTCATACGCTCTCAAAACCGCCGTCTTAACTGCATCATAATCAAGAGCTTGCTCGATTGGCAATGCAGCTGAGACCTCTTGCGCCTTCCCTACAAAGTTACTCTGCAAAAGCAGAACCCACATGTCTTTAGGCCATCGCAGCTTAGCGGCTATACGCTCAAATGCTGTAAAATATGAGTCTACTTCAGTTTCTCTGAACGATGGTACTAAACGAATGAATTTACCTCGTCAAAATCAGGAGGGGAGTCAAACGGAGAATCAGAGGAGTTATATCTTGAATTTGGAGCAGAATCCACTTCTGGCATTTTCACTAACGACGCAGAAGGTTTGAGGCAATGGAATTGGCCTACGCAACTTTAAAACTTCTAGCTCTAACCTACGCAGTTCAATATCACGATCTCCTTTCACTTCTACCATATGCAACTTAATACGCTCTGCCTCACATTCTTCCTGTTTTAACTTCAATTCAATCTCCTTTAACTTAATGGCTAGTAATGGCTCAGAACAAGGATCTTTAGCCTCCATGTTAGGACTAGAATCAGAAACTGCAGTCTCCACCACAGCATCTGACTCCACCCCAACGATACCCTGCTCATCTGGTGATACTAGAACGCCAGTTTTAACTAGCTCTCCAAATAACACCTCCTTGATTACCTGTTTATTCGCTTCTTTTGGAATAGTAATATTAAAGAAACCTGCTATTTCAATTAAATCTTTTTTTCGGCAACGGTTATATGCTTCCCAAGAAGGATATAATGTGAAGGCAACTAGATCAAATTCCATATCCTACACAGATACTCCTCCCTCATCAAAAGTGAATCAGCCAGGCAAACAAATGTGAGAAATGCAAAAATGAAAAGCACTTACCTCAAAATAATTGTCACACAAAGTAGACAAATTTTAAATACTATGAATCAACAAGGGACGAGCCCCCATTTACTGTTACGTTTTCCTGATTGGTCTAGGGGAGGAAAGCAACAGCAAAAGAAAATGGATGGCCACCCCGTCTCCAGACCCAGAATTGTTTCACAATAAACACAATTATCTCGTTAAAGAAAGTAGTTTTTATTTACAAATCAAAAAAAAGGGGGGTATCAGATTCAGAAGGGGGTATTTGCCAAAACAATAAACATAATCAATCTAACTCCTACTTAAACTAAAAGAAAAGAAAAACAAGAGTACAGCAAAATAAGCTAACTCCCTTGCTAACATAAACAGGAGAAAAAGTCAAAGTCAAAATAAATGGCACCCACCTCCCTACTAACCCCAAAATAAATAAAGAAATCATTAACTACTAAAGTAAGAGACAAAACAGATGAATTAAACTATACAATAAATCATGAAAAATGAACACTTCTACCTTTGTGAATCTCAACCATAGAGTGGTCAAAGAGGGACGACCGAGAGAAAACTACTACAATAAGTAGAACACCAACATAAGTTAGAGATACACAACACTCTCAAATTGTTCCAACAACACATCAGGTCTGGGGTTGGAGATAGGACCTCAAAGCCGCTGCACACAACCAAGCCACCACCAACACAGCTCTTCTTCTTCTTCTTCTTTTTATTTGGCGGTTAGCAACTATTTCTTGTGCATTACCGCCACCACAGGACTGGAGTAAGGCACGGGAGTTACTGGCTATTATATATATATATATATATATATATATATATAAATAAAAAATAAAAATAAAGTTATTCTTATATCCTTTTTAAAAGGCCTGTACTTTTCAAAAAAAAAAGTAAGAAATCAAAATTCTCCCTTGAACTTCTGTTCAATAGTGTTTTAGTTTCTAAAGACATTTTCTTTGCTTTCAACTCATTAACAAGCCTTTGCCTTGCCTCATTGTATTTATGACAGTACATTATTACATGCTCTACTGTTTCAGGTGTATTACTCTGGCAATACTCACAATTTCCATCTCCATGCTTTTTTATTAAAAACATTGTACTATTCAACTTTGTATGACCCAACCTCATCCTAGTCAGCACAATTTCTTCCTGTCTTGATCTGGCTATGTGTGTGCCTTTTCCCACTTTCCCTTGTATCCTATATAGATGTCTTCCTGAGCACCCTTTATCCCAGATATGTTGCCACTTTTTAATAGTTTTAGCCTTAATTATACTTTTTATCTCTGCTTTACTATACTTTACATCTATATCTATATTGCTTTTATATGTTGCTCTCTTTGCATGCTCATCGGCCATTTCGTTACCTTCCACTCCTATATGGGCTGGAACCCATAAGAATGTCACCCTCCTTCCTGATGCTTGTATTCCATTTGCTTGCTGTAAAATTTCAATTAAAATATCTTCCCTTGAATCAGACCGATAGTTCTGAATACTGAACATTGCTGAACTTGAATCAGAGGCAATCAATGCCTGCAGACAATTGTTAGACTCTAGCCACAAGAGTGCTAACCATATGGCAACCAGTTCAGCAGTATACACTGCTAGGTCATCATTTATCCTTTTTGCCTTTATTATTCCCACCTCAGGGATTGCATAAGCTACCCCTACTCTCTTCTCAATGTTTTTAGATGCATCTGTAAAAACCTTTACACACTCTTTGTATTTTCCTGTTATATATTTGCTTACCCCATACTTATCCACTCCATCTTTCTTCCTTTCCTCCAATAGTCCTAAATCAACCTTCAATTCTTCTAACATCCAAGGAGGCACTACTGGATATGCCACAGTTTGACTGATGTTCAGAGAACCAATTCCCATGTTATTCACCTTATCTTTTATAACCCACCCATAACTTTTAATTTTCATACTTTCTTTTTCCTGGCATTCCCTTAAAACTGTCTGAGACATGTGGTTATCTTTATGCCCCCTGATATTTGCCCAGTATACCAGTGCTAGCTGGTCCCTCCTCAAATGCAGTGGCATCTCACCCACCTCTACTTGAATTGCAGCTACTGGAGAAGTTTTTATTGCACCACTAATTATCCTCATTGCTTGATTTTGCATACCATCAAGTTTGTTTAAGCTTGTCTTGAGGCAGATCCATATGCTATACAGCCGTAGTCAAACACTGATCTCATTAGACCTGTATATATGTTTTTTAATGCTGACCTTGTTGCACCCCAATCTATCCCACATAAACACCTCATAACATTTATTATCCTTTTACATTTATCTACCATCTTTTGGATGTGACATGCCCATGTCAACCTCTTATCAAACCAGACTCCCAGATATTTAAAGATCTCAACCCTCTCAAGCTCTTTATCTAACACCATTATTTTTAATTCTTGGTTAATTTTTTTCCTTGTAAAGAACATAACCTTTGTCTTCTCTATTGAGATTCTAAACCCCCATTTCACTCCCCATTGCTGAACTTCATTCACAGCATCTTGCATCTTATGCACAATAAACTCAATGTTCCTTCCCTTCTTCCACATTGCACCGTCATCCGCAAATAACGCTACTCCATCTAGGCCATGCAAGTCTTTAAATACCAACACAGCTCTTCTTCTTCTTCTTCTTTGATTTTTACGGCAGTTGGCATCCATTGCGTTGCATTACTGCCATCTTCAGGCTTTATCTACCCTTTACTTTCACTCATACTAAATCCGTCTATCTAATCCAGTCCCCTTCAAAAAATCAAATAACAATTTCCTACCCCCCACACTCTCTCCATACTCCAATAAACTTTTTACTGTATCATCTACCCTTCCTATATTTTTAAACTGTGTTATCATTTCTTGTCTTTCCTGATTAAATTTCCTACATGTTATAAGAACATGTTCTACTGTTTCAGCCTCCTGACATTGTTCACACATTCCTGTAGGATGTTTTCCTATAATTAAAAGTGTACTATTAAGATTGCTATGCCCAATTCTCAACCTGCTTATTATCACCTGCTCTTTTCTCTTTGTTCCCCTACTTCTTGATATACCTACTTTTCTTTGAATTTCGTATAAATGTCTCCCTTTTGTTGCATTATCCCAACTTTGTTGCCATTGTTGATTTACACTTCTCCACACTATGCCTTTCCCCTCTGATTTAGACAATTTAATATTTACTTCAACTTCTCCTTTTTTAACTGCTTCTTTTGCCACTTTATCTGCTTTCTCATTCCCATGTATTCCCAAGTGTGCAGGGACCCACATAAATATGACATTTTTCCCCTGCCTATTTATTCTTGAGTTCATAAATAAAACTTCATACAGCAGGTCCAGGTGACTTCTAGATGTACCTGTCTTCATGCTTACTAGAGCTGATACAGAGTCACTACATATTACTATTTCTTTATCACTAATTTGTTCTGTCCATTCTAACGCCATCAATATGGCAAACATTTCAACTGCAAATACACTCAGACAATCCGATGTTCTTTTACTAATTTCCACTTTATATCTAGGAATAACAACTGCCGACCCTGTTGCCTCTGTTTGCATGTCCTTTGACCCATCTGTGAAAATCTGAATACTTTCCTTATACTTACATTCCTTATAACTATAATATACACTATTTAAATCAGCATTCTTATTATTATGTTTAATCTCAAGCAGCTCTAAATCTACACATGGTATTTCTAATTCCCAGATAGGTCTGATAGGCCACACCACATTTGCGCCAAACTCTTTATCATAAACCCCTGTATCTTTTGCCATTTGATCCCCTGTCCACCCAAAACTTGTTTTTTGATTTGTCTCCTTCTCCCAGCATGTCTGCAGCACCTTTTTTGCTGGATGACTATCTCCATGCCCTCTTAAATTAACCCAATAATTAGCCCCCAGCTGCTTCCTCCTCAACCACAATGGCATTTCACCTGCTTCAACTTGGAGAGCACATACTGGGGAAGTTCTAACCGCTCCTACACACACTCTTAAAGCCCGAGCTTGAATAACATCCAGATCTGCCAACACAGATTTGGCTGCTGAACCATATACAATACTTCCATAGTCTAACCTTGATCTTATTAAGGCTATATATATGTATTTTAGCGATGCTACATCCGCTCCCCACTCCAATCCTGCAAGACACATCATGACATTTATAACTTTTTTACAATTACATATCTAATATGCTCCCTCCATGTTAATCTCACATCAAAATATACTCCCAAAAAACGAAAACTTTCAACTCTCTCTAACTTATTCCCATACAATTTCAGATACCATTCCCTGACTTTCTTTCTTGTGAAGAACATAACTTTTGTTTTTTCCACTGAAAACTTAAATCCCCATTCTGTCCCCCACTTCTCGACTTGATTAATTCCATCTTGCATTTTTTTAATGACATATTCCACATTTCTCCCTCTTTTCCATAATGCTCCGTCATCTGCAAACAATGATCTCCCCATATCATTTGGAATGTTTACAAATACATCATTTATCATAATGGAAAATAAAGTTGGACTTATTACTCTCCCCTGAGGTGTCCCATTCTCTACCGTATATTGACTTGATAATTCTGCTCCTATCTTCACCTGTATAGTTCTTTCATTTAAAAAGTCCATAATCCAATTAAATATTCTTCCTCCAACACCCATTAGATTCAGTTTAATTAGCAATCCTTCCTTCCATAACATATCATATGCCTTTTCCACGTCGAAAAATACTGCACCCATTGTCTCTTTATTTATTTGAGCTTTCCTTATTTCATCTTCTAGCCTAATCACTGAATCTATAGTACTCCTTCCCTTCCTGAAACCGCTTTGATATGAAGCCACCATTTCTCTTTTCTCCAAAAAGTATGTTAACCTCTCATTCACCATACGTTCCATTATCTTACAGATATGGGACGTCAAAGCAATTGGTCTATAGCTTCCAGGTTTGCTGGCATCTTTTCCTGGCTTCCTTATTGGAATTATTATAGCCTCCTTCCAACTCCCTGGTATTATTCCCTCTATCCATACTCTGTTGTACAACATCAATAATTTTTCCATACCTTGCACACTTAGATGCTTCATCCTACTATAACATATTTCATCTTTCCCTGGCGCTGTTTGTCCTGCTTTGTCTAGTGCCCTTTTTAACTCTCCTATTCTAAAGGGGACATTTTGTACATTCTCCATACTACTTTTCCTACCCAAAGCCTCCATATTTTCAGATTTTGTTTTCTCTCTACCTCTTCTACCTTCTTCCTGCAAATTATTTGATCCATGTATCGTAACAAACATTTTTGCCAATAACTCTGCCTTTTCCCTATTTGTCACTGCTGTCTTATTTCCCTCAAACAGAACCGGATAATTCCATTCCCTCCTGTCCCCCCCCCCCCATCTTTTTTATCATCCCCCACACTTCCCCGACCTGAGTTGAGTTTCCAATAGAATTACAATACTCCCTCCATTTTACTCTTTTTGCCTGCCTTATTGTCCTTCTTACTACTGCCTGTGCCTGCTTGTACTTAATCAAATGTTGAAAATTATGAGTTCTTTTAACTAGTTTAAATGCCTTATTTCTATTTTTCACTGCTACCTTACATTCATCATCCCACCATGGTACTACTTTCTGTCTTGCTCTGCTTTTGCTTTTAGGAATTGATTCTATTGCAGCCAATATTATACCTTGCTTTAATTTACTGTCCATTGTTTCTATATTCATCCCTTCATGTAGCTGACTTAAATATCTATCACTTACATCAAGAAATTTCTCCCAATTAGCCTTCTTAAATATCCATTTCCCCCCTGTATTCTCTATGACCAGTGGTGTTTCCATATTTATCTTGCACCATATTGGATAATGATCACTCCCTATAGTTCCTTCATGATACACTGACCAATCACATAATGATGCCATGGTATTTGATACCAAAGTAAGATCTAGTACAGATTCTTTTCCTGTATTTACATCTATCCTAGTGTTACTTCCATCATTTAAGCATACTAAATTCTTTTCATCAAGTAACTCTTCTATCACCTTCCCATTTGTATCTGTTCTATCACTACCCCATAATGTGTTATGTCCATTAAAATCTCCACACCAAACAATATTACTACTATCCTGCCCTTCTATCTCTTCCAGCTTCATTAATTCTAGTTTCTTGCACGGGTTATAATAATTCACAACTGTTACTTCTTTCTTTGCCCAAATTTTCACTACCACATACTCTTGTTCCCTTCCTATCCCTAAAATCCTGTAAGGAATGCCCTGCTTTATAAAAGTGACACATCCCCCTCCTACCCCCCCCTATCCTATCTTGCCTCACAATTACATACCCATGTAGAACAAAATCCAAATTTGGTTTTAACCAGGATTCTTGTATACACACAATGTCAGGTTTTTCCCCTCTACTAACTATAAACTGTTTGAAATCTTGCCCATTAGCTATCAAGCTTCTCGCGTTCCACTGAAGAATTAAAATTATTAGTATTAGAACTATCAACCCAGACATGCTACCTCTTGACTTGACTGTATACTAAGTTCATCTCTTACTTCTTCCCACCTTAATCCTATCATATCCAAATGATGCACTGCAGCTTTTACTATGACCTGAATCCGTTCAGTTTTAGATTTGATCTCATATGTTGCATTTATCACTCCTGCAATGAATGTCACCATCTTCTTCTTTTCTACCCATGTCTTCTTCTCATCTTGCTGTTTTCTCCCCACCACTTGCTCTTTACTACATCCTCCCTCCTTATACTTCTCATTTCCTCCTGCCATCTTAACTGCCTCAGCATACGATACTTTTTCCTTTACTCGAATTTGTTGTACCTTCACTTCTTTCTTCAATACCTCACACCCCCAATATGCAACACTGTGATTACCACC